TGGGCGGCAACACTCAGAGGCCGACATTGTCAGGTGATGGCGGGCGCTCCTGGGTCCAAGCTAAGACCGTACCTCCAGGTTTTTTATATAAATTTTTCTTTATTTATTTATTTTAGCGCAGGCAAACGCTGGGTGGATAGTGTTAGGGACGCGGGGTGGTCACCCGCGCACGGGGTGTGAAACTCTTTACGACATCTCATACAAGGGTTTGTACCACTTTTTTGGGTAGTAATTAGATCACGTCTCCAAGGGTTCTGGGTGGTGGGGTTTACTGAGGACACCTTCAACGCGGGGGGGGGGGGGGGGGGCGTGTGTGTGTGTGTGTGTGTTCCGCACCCCCCCACCCCCCGCGTTGTCGCCATTAATTTCAAATTTTCAGATTTTTACGATGTTGATGACAGTGTTTGACCGTACTTACACTTCATAAAACAATTTCCTCCTACTTTCGCATTAATTCCTCGTGATAAATCTGGGAGGTCTTTTTGCGCCCGTTTTTAGGAACTAATACGCCCGATTTAAGGAACTAATACGCCCGATTTTAGGAACTAATACGCTAATTTGTACGCCCCAAATACACTAAAATACGCCACTTTGACGCCCTTCACGTCCCTGTACGACGTTCTATGCGCCTTTCAAACGCTTTATACGATTGATCGACCAGTCTTGTCTTAATAGCTTAGCTAAAAAAAATGTTTTATAACCCGACATGAATAAATAAGAGAGGAGTGTGTGTGTTGGACGGTGATTGCAATTTGGGGAAAATGATAAGTTAATAGCTGTGTAAGTTACAAATAATTAACATTTTCGTTTAACCCGATAAAATTAGAGTGCGTGTGTGTGTTGTGTGTGTGTGTGTGTGTGAAGAGGCGGAGTAAGATTAAAGTAAAATGAGCAAGCAATAGACGTCGAACAGTTAGAACGTGATCCGATGAGTGGAGCCAAAGACATCGGGAAGCTTTTCGCCAAAAAACCTCCAACTACGGAGCACTTGCACTCAAACAAACCGAAAGAACAGGCGCGTCGTCTTTCGTAAAAAGCTTACAAACTTACTTAGTTTCACCAGCAGTGGCAGCTAAAAGAGAATACGAGGTTGTGTGTCAACGCTGCCCCACGTTCTTATCAAAGGGTGGGGTGAAAACGGGCCAGAAATCATCTTTACAGCAGCCATTACACCTACCTAATCTATAAAAGTAAAACCACAAAAGAGATAGCACCACTCGGAGGTGTGCAAGTGAGATATGTCACTAACAAATGTAAGACACCTACGCGCTCGACTACTGCAGTTCACGCCCCCCCTGAGTTCAGCCGGATGTGGTACCAGCGGCGCTGTGAAAGTCCTCGTCCCACCATTGCCAGAGCCAACGGCCCACCGATGGCAGCAGCCCACCAACGGCAGTGGCCCACCGGGAAAAGTCCCGAATCTCCCGATGGCCAACCAGATTGATGCAGTTAACTTCAACGTTTAAAAAAATATCTTCCCGGGGGTGCATGCCCCCGGACCCCCCTAGAGGAGGTGAGGTCCACCGCCAAATAAAGCAGGTTAAAATAATTAAAGGTGACCTATCATGCAAAATGCACTTTTGTACGTCTTTTATACATGAATATATGTCCCTGGTGTTCCAGGGAACTCACCAAGTGTCAGAAAACACAACCCTCTCTATTTTCCTCCATACCCAAATCTCTTAATGAGCTGCAACGGATCTGATACAGACTGATCCAGATTTGAACACTTCTCTGACGTCACAGAAGTGGCGCTACGGCTATTGGGCCAACTCCACCAATCAGGAGGAGACAGCCACGGACATTGCCGTTCGAAAGCGCTGGAGACGCTGTAGTACATATGCCAGGCCTGTAGATGGTGCTGTTCTCACCGAATCAGCCCATGAAAAGACAGTGTTAAATTGAGCGAAATGAGGAATGGCTAAAAAGCATGATCTGTTTGGTATTTTGAAAAATAAAAAGTATAAATATGCCTTATATAGGTATGGTCCTACACTATATTATTCAAATATTGCATGATAGGTCCACTTTAAATTGCATACATCTTATTTTAGTAAACACTGAAAATGGGTCCCACAGACCCACAGCACACAAGGGTTAAAGGTAAGCATATCATAATGTTAACATGTGCTAATTATATATATTGCAAAAAAACTAAAAAAGAGGAGTAAAAGTAGCTCACAACTTGTTTTATTTTTTGAAAGTAGCTCTCATTCTAAAAAAGGTTTCAGACCCCTGTTGTAGAACGATACATTCTACAATTTTAAGCTTGGCCAACCATTTTATTGGAGCAATGAGGAACAGATTGGGCTTGAAAAGGCCCACCTGTGCAAAGTGGGGAATGTCAGAAAAAGTTTGAGAACCACTGCTCTGCTATGACTTTTTTCAATTTTTTAACTCACTCTTTTCCATTTATTTGAAAAAGCTTATACTTTGATTATTTTCCCCATATAAAACCTCTTCCCATACCGGTAGTTGAACCCATTCCGCCTGGGTGAAAAAACAGGAATCCTAGCCGCTACCATATGGGACATCTTTTGCGTCCTTTTTCCAAACGTTTTGATATATTATACTATGACTTTTTTTCAAATGTTTCCACTTACTTTACTATGACGTTTTTCCAATTCTATAACAGAGTATACGATGACTTTTTTTCAAATTGTTCAACACGCTATGACTTTTTTCTCAAATGTTTCGACACACTATACCATGACTTTTTTTCACAAATAGTGCTGATGTCATTCAGGTAGTCCAATCAGGAAGCAGGCAGCCAATTGGCAAACTGGTCCAATCACCAGGAAGCACCTGCACACAGAAACACAGACACAGACAGACACACACACACACACACACACACACACACACACACACACACACACACACACACACACACACACACACACACACACACACACACACACACACACACACACACACACACACACACACACACACACACACGCACACACACTCATTATTTTAAACAGACAGAGAGCCACCTTCACCAAGCCAACCAACAATACGGTTTGTACATTTGGGGTAACAGCTTCAAAAGTCAAAACATCTCTATACTACAACACTGGCAGGAAACCCTGGATTTGGTATGCAGCAGCGTTTTATAAGGAGCGCACTCATTTGAATAGCATTTTAAAAAATGTTTTACGTAAGAGTCTTGGATGCTGAGCCACGACCAATTTAACCCCTGGTTATAGATGAACATCTTCTGCTTTTAATCAAGAATATTTGGGTGATCAACAAGTCCTTCACCAAAGCTTGCAAATAGCTATGTAGTGATTTGATGAAATGAAACCAGAGCCGCCTTCTCCCAATCTCTCATACTCTTGTCAATCAACCTCCCTCTGAACAATAGCACGGTATGGCCTCAGTGGGGGATAAACAACGCAGTAATCCCGCTCCTCTCTCTCTCTCTACTCGGTCTCTGCGTTGTAAGCTGCACACGGGCCAGTCAGTACTTTACTAATATGATTAAGCAGTAGTGGGAGGAAACCACATATGTATGGTCCTAAACTGAGGACAGCCATCTCCAAAACCCTGTTTAAGATGAGAGCTGCACCTAGTTCCTCAAAAGACTGCAAAAAGTGTCAAAGTTAATAAAGATAAACATCTACACAGGTCTACATGCTTTAAAAATAGACAAAAAAACAGGCCATCTGCCTCTTAGCATAGTGGAGCAGGGAGGATTAAACCCAGATTATGGCCGTTGTGTACGTGTGTGTTAGTGTGTGTGTGTGTGTGTGTGTGTGTGTGTGTCTGTTGCCTGTCGTCAGTGTGTCCTTGGCTCCGTAGACAAGCAGCAGGTTAGCTAGAGAGCTACCACTGGATTTGACAGCTATAGAAAGCCGAACCGGAGGGCGCCATCAGGGGAGCAGCATCACTTTCACCTACAAAAAAATATATTCTCACCCTCGCAGAGTGAACATAGCAACTCAAGATGGCTTTCTTGATCAAGAGCATGATTGGGAACCCCCTGTCGGGAATTGGCCTTGGAGGTGGAGGTGACAAAGAAGAGGAGGCCGCCCCCACAGATCCAGCCAAAGCAGCAGGGATGACACGAGAAGAGTATGAAGAGTATCAAAAACAGGTGGTGGAGGAGAAGTGAGTACAACATGGACGGTGCTCCATTTTCAATTCATGCCATTGGCCCATTGAAAACAGTATGGCTGCAGAATGTCCAATCTGACCTTGACTAACTACTTTCTACTTCACCGCACTGTTTACTCTCCCCTCTTTTGCACTAACATATTTTTTACCCGTACCCTAACTAAATGTATATTTATATATTCGTTTCATGAGCTTACAACAAGCTGGGTGTGTTTTTGAGAAGTGCATCTGTTGCTGAAGGTCACAGGTACCACCCTACTCGATCTTTCCTGCATGATGACCCGCTGGGGCTAATGGTCCTGCCTGGATCAATAATCTCCCATAATCTGCCCTCTATTTCTGCAGCAAGAACAACATTATGTAACACTTTGGGGAATTTCTAGATTTTGAAACATCAATGAAGCATTTTTATAAAGGCAGTTTATTCTCTGCTTGAATCTTTTTTACTTGAAAGCAGAACATATTGGATTATTCAAACTGAACTCTATGATAGATGAGATTATGTGCTGGAGCAACAAAGGAAAGCAATCACAATCCTGCAGCTGTATAATTATTCGTCCATTTTAGTTAGATCTGCATTTGAGGTAGATGTTGTAAGAACATTCGGAATAGCGGTTTCTTTTTTTTAAAAGCATTTCATTTATTTCTAATGGAATATAAACATCTTTTTAGAAAGTAGATGTTATTTATACAGCAGGTAGCTTGGTTTTGCACACTGCCATGTTGCTGTGCTATATGTAAAAATAATACACATGATTTTAATGTATGAATGTACATTTAGCAACAAGTTATTTCATCCTCAGTTTAATTTGAAAGAAAAAGTGTGAAAAATAATTTCATCTTACAAATTGGACTTTTGTGAAAAGATGTTGCAGCAGCGAACAGATCCCGTATTACATAAGAAGATTAATCCAGCCTTCCCACTCTTAAAATGTTGGTATTAAAATAGTAATTGTAAATATAAAGGTAGATTTCAAAAGATGACAACATTCTCCATTATTGTAGACTGGATTTAACTGATGTTTTCTGTATAAACTATCTAGCCAGACCAAGAGTCAAAATAAAAAATGCACTGTGTGTCAGGAACCTCACTCCACTGTTTTGTTGCATCAATTATTTTTAAATGGTGGCATCTTGGCTTGATTTCCAATCTGCTTGACTCAGTCTGGCCTAATAATCCCATCTGTACTTGGCTGAAGGAAAGTATGTGAGACTGTCTTTGTCAAATCAAAATACTGAAATAAATGTATGAGTATGAAATAATATCTATAACATGAATTAGGCAAATAAATGTAGGTGTGCACATTACAGATTTCAGATTTCAGCAATAGTATAATAATGACACTGGAAATAGTCCAATGGTGTTAAACATTTTGCATTAGGTAGTGCAATACATACATACATGGAGATGCTTACATAACTGCAGCTGTTATACATCAGGGTTAATTATTCATGCCCTCCTTGGACACCAAAAGGACATACAGTTTCTTGATGTTATCAATTTCCATATTGTGTAAACATTATCAACATATTACAGACATTATCACTCCCCCTCATCGGCAATATGATCGCACAATACCTGAACCATTATGATAGTAAGAGCCAGTGCTTTACCATCCAGATGAAACAAGTACAAGTGCAGTGAATAAAATAAATGAAAAATAAATAAATAAAAATAAATAAATAAATAAGGAGGTGCTGCTAGAGCTCTGGTGTTGCTTGTTTGATACAACCGGGACCATTTTTCTTCGAATGTATCAGTTTTCAGCTGTAGTCTTGCTGTGATTTTCTCCATTAAATAAACATTTTGTTACCCTGTTTCTCCAATGGACTATGCTGGGGGGCTGCGGCTATCGATTTTTTCGCAATTAGAAGAAGAATTCTTAGTAAGACAGCTACATTTCTGTCCATATCACTGGGCAGTATACCCAGTATATAAAGTGCTGGGTCCAAAGTGAGGTGATGCCAAGCACCCGTTTAATCTCCTTTTGAACATCGTAACTATCCCAGTTTTCCAACACAATCCTCAGCTGTTGCATTTGACGGGGAGGAAGATGAGTGGTTAACCAGCCTGGCTGCACTTTGTATCTGTAGGTGCAGCCTTAGACGACATATAAAGGGAGCAGGTGCAGAGGATTGGGATGCTGTAGGGTGAAGACATTTAGCTGTGGGAATAATCTCTGTCCCGCCTCATACTGATTCTCACAGACAGTCTAATCACTTCACATTAAACTCAGATACTCTGTGATTCTGTACTAAAGCTTCCTGGCACCACTTCAGAGAAACTGGTTCTCAGAAATCATAGAACATGATTATATTCCCAGAGAAGTTAAGTGTCCGTATAAAACATTTGCATCTCGGTGCATACAGTACCATTTTTTAGCATGAGTTATGCAAGTGACGTAAAACTAAAAGGAAGGAATATCAGGATGAGTCGGTTTATTAAATTACTCTTAATTCGAAGGAAGTTGATGCTGATTTTTGGGGGGTTACTGAACTATTTCATGACATTACAGGTGGCAAAAATGTCTTAGACTGGGCGTTTAAAAGAAGCTAATCTCTCTGTCACGTTTGTGTTCACCTGTAGATGTATCTCCATCAGATTGTTTGAATAACCAAAGACAGCAAAGTTTGGACACAGAGTTGAAAGTTAAACCCTGCATGCATCGAGACTTCAGCACTCACTCATACTCTGTTTCATAAAGCACACAATGCCTAGATAAGAAATCCAATTAAGTCGATGCTATGCGGTCTTATTTCCCTTCTTCTGCAATCATCTCATACATGTCTATAAACAATGAGCCGTTGAAAGTGTAATACATTTTTGTCATTGATATGCAAATGCACCATTATTAGTGGATGGAACGGTCACAAGGCGAGAGAGTTCAGATCAACCAGGAAGACACACTGCAGCTGTTACTCCGTGAAACCTCTTGTATGGGAAACAAAAGGCCTTTGATGGCTCCTGTTTGAATGTTTGTGCTGCGACAGATAATAATCATGAGTAACTTCAACATAGTGCTGCACATTCAGCCAGGAGTTTGAAGCCTCCTGTCTTAACCCTTGTGTTGTCTTCCTAGTGACTTTTCTCCTCCCAGTTTGACTATTTATAAAGCAAATTTAGTTTAAATTATCACCCAAATCTGTGTCACACCAATTAAGGCAACTGTATTCCTACTTATTACCACAAGTGCTACTCTTCTTTTTGAAATGTATGGTCAATACATTCATTTACACAAATCAAACCTAATTTCTGAGTAAAACAATTGACCAGAAAGGCTGTACATTTGAATACAATCCTAAATCTAATGAAAGAGATTATGATTATTTTCTCGTGGAAAAATGTAGTATGCAATCAAACATGTTATTTTTCTGTCACTAACATAAAACAAACCTTTATCCCAACATGAAAACATTTTGAAGCGGGTCAAATTTCACCGGAGGACAACAGGAAGGTTAAGGCCCTAACCAAGCCTTCCGTTGAAGCAAATGTTTCGTAGTGGCCAAACCATGGTACTACAACTTCAGTTTAATTATCACGTCATTGGGCCCACAAATACTTTTTCTCATTGACTTACATTGGGAAAGAGACGTGCTAAAAAGTTGTATGTGTGCTTCACCTGGAGATCTGTGTTATAGAAAAAAGCAGATGCCTCGATGTAAAGATCACCTGCAAGTGTCACGCTGAGCCTACTCACTGAACACAGCAGTCGTCCACACGTCCTCCTGCCACGCTTAGAAATGATATGTAAAGATAGATATGCCGTTGGTGTCACAATGGTCGGACAGAAATAATTGAAAGATAAATGTGAATGTGAAGTAAGAAAGCAAACAAGTGTATTTAGCCGAATGTAAGATGTTCCATTAAAGGTCCCCTATTATACTGTTTTTCATCAATATATTCAGGGGTGCACATAACTGTTTCAGTGAGTCAGTGTTTGGTACTCCAACTTCTGGCTCCACTCAAAGTTATTTGATGAAGCCCTCTGTGTCAATATATTATAGGTTTCAGATATATACAAAACATGTCTCTGAAGTGCAGCAGAAGAAGCTCTGGCAGTCTTTCCCGTCCAGACACTCGTAGACACAGGCGTCCTCGAAGTCCCGCCAGTACAGGGAGTTGTTTAACGCGATGACGGTGTGTGGCGGCCTCACATCCAGCACCGAGTAGTTCTGAGAAAAAGGGGAGACTGAAGAAGCTACTTCAGTTTGAATTAATGTTCCCCTATTCTACTGTTTTTCATCAATATATTATAGGTCTCAGATATATACAAAACATGTCTCTGAAGTGTTTGGCTCCAAACACCAAACAGATCATTGCAGCATTACCCATAATCCCCTCTGTTTCAGCCCTGTTTCCCAAGTGCTGATTCTNCATATTACAGACATTATCACTCCCCCTCATCGGCAATATGATCGCACAATACCTGAACCATTATGATAGTAAGAGCCAGTGCTTTACCATCCAGATGAAACAAGTACAAGTGCAGTGAATAAAATAAATGAAAAATAAATAAATAAAAATAAATAAATAAATAAGGAGGTGCTGCTAGAGCTCTGGTGTTGCTTGTTTGATACAACCGGGACCATTTTTCTTCGAATGTATCAGTTTTCAGCTGTAGTCTTGCTGTGATTTTCTCCATTAAATAAACATTTTGTTACCCTGTTTCTCCAATGGACTATGCTGGGGGGCTGCGGCTATCGATTTTTTCGCAATTAGAAGAAGAATTCTTAGTAAGACAGCTACATTTCTGTCCATATCACTGGGCAGTATACCCAGTATATAAAGTGCTGGGTCCAAAGTAAAGGTAATGCCCAGCACCCGTTTAATCTCCTTTTGAACATCCTTCCAGAAGCCCTGAATGTTTGGACAGTCCCAAAATATATGTGTGAAGTCTCTCACCATCCACAGCCCCTCCAACACACATTAGAGGTATTGCTATATTTTGAAGTGATAGATGGGGTCAACATTTATTATTTTTGATTAAAGTAATCTCAGTAAACACTATTTTAGTTAATTGTTTTTTTTCAGCTTTAATGCTTTATTGGTATTCAGGTGAACTGGAGTAGGTGGTGTTGAGTTGAACACTTATATGTTGCCTATATAATTAGGCCCATGTGTATGCATGCAAACAAACAAAACAAAAGGGAAACATTTTTTCATAAAACTCAAATTATGAAAGATGTATTATGCGGTCTTTTAAGCACTGATGACAACACAAGGTCCTTATGTTCCACTTTGCTGGTATTTTGTTGCAGCTTTCCTCCTTTCTAAGGGATTAAACTGAAACAATTCTTGTTAACCTGGGATGTTCCTGAGGCCGGCAGCAAAGCTTATTGTGGTAAACATGTTTTTAATCTCTATTTCAGGATGGAGAGAGATGCAGATTTCTTAAACAAGAAAGCAGAGAGGGCGACACTCAGGGTGTGCCTCAGAGACAAATACAGGCTGCCAAAGGTAAAGAGTTATCATTTCTCATATTTAAAATTCAATCTGTACTCTATATTCATATTCTGAAAAGGAACACAAATGCATAATACTTTACTATTAATACAAATTATTATAGTATTACAAGGACCAAAGGAATGTCTAATAAGTTATTTTTAATACACTAGATTAAAGGGCATTTTAAGTGTTTTATAAATGGCCAGTATTTTCGAGGTTTATAACTTCTCAGATGAAGACATATTTTATATGATTACGATATTTTAATATATTGTCTTTCATTATCATTTTATACAGCTGCTCCAACTTATGAAGGCACACAGGGGTTAACTTTGTTGATAAGTACATTGATAAACACTAACATCTGATTTTTCACTAAATTATAGTGACTTAAAAACATAGGGTTATTTTTGCTGCTAATAAATGACAAATAAGAATACAAATGTAAGTGTTGCCAATAAGAAACCATCCAACATACTAAATACTTTTTTTTTTATATTTATCAAATTCTTAATTCCCTCAGTCTTCTAAGTTGATCATGGCTGAGGTTATAATGATCCAACAGCAGCACTTTCCAGCGTGTGCGACAGGAGGTGGGAGCCGTGCCAATATAGATTAGCGAGGAGGACGTTCAACCAGCGCTCTGGAAGACGTTAATATGTGTCCCATGTAGCACCTTGGGTCTTAGAAAGCCAAATGCCTCTGAGCAGGTGTCCCAGGCTCATTAGGGAACGCCGGCAGTGTGAGCAACATCTATTTTAGTGGATGTAAACCGAGCGACTGCAGGATTTAAAGGACTGTTAAACAAAAAGCTGTAATGGCAGGAGCACAACAGGTATGTTGGGGTTTTAATTAGGTCTTTTAGAGATTCATACAGGAGTGTTTCCTATACTATAATTCAATCTAATTTAAAACTGACTAGTACTTAACTGTGTGTTTTTATGATATAAGAGCACAATTGATTTCTTATACAGCTTTTCTAATACCATTATTTGTGTTTATCTGAATGCAGTGATGACCTTGGCTGCTGTAGGTTTTTCCTATATGTAACGCGACAGACTCTCTATTGTTCAGTCTCCTGCTTTAAACAATGGCTGCACTTCTTTTCACTGTTTGTCTTTTAAATTGAAACCACACATATATAATGAGGACAATAGCATTAGTCTAATCATATAGATCTAATTATTTTCCCTCAATGGTGTTTACATTGCATTCCAGTTTGAAAAGGAACAAATGACAAAGTGCCTTTATTAGAAGTGAAATGTGCATTTAAATGGGTTTTCAAACAATAATAAGGCACCTAAAGGGATCCTGTACTGTTAATTATGTTTCTTTGAATGGGTAGGAGGTTTGGAATGTGCATACATGCTGAGTTAGTTAGAAACAATTATAATCTAATCATATATATATTTGAATGTACAAGTGTGCGGTAGAAACAGGAAGTTTGTGCTGTATGTCTAATGGAATTAGGGTCTCGTGCAATGCTATAGTGGATATCTTTAGACTATCGCTGGGATTCAGAGAGGAAAGGCTAAAGCAGGTCCCAAGTAATCCCACAGATTGAGTTTAAAGTAGTCCCAGCACGCTGCCTGTTGCATGACTATTCAAGCGATTAGATTGAGTTTGTTGTTTATATGTAGCATTTCTATGATGCAAAAGGCACATAAAGTAAAGTCAAAGGAGACTTCAGTCTGTTTAAGAAAATGTAGAAAACAGAGAGAGCTGAATATCCTGGAGAGCAGCTTCTTGAACGTGGATTAAGACCTAGATCCTAGAGCTCTTCTATTTTTGTTCGCTAGTCTGCCTAAGGTCTTACGATTTGAAAACAAACACAGACCAATCTGCAGTATTAGAAAGTTGCTATGTGTTTACATTGGAATTGAAGTTTAATAAAAGAAGGGCAGTATCATTTTTCAATTAATCAATGAATAGCTAGAAATTAGGTCATAAATCGACTAACAAACTGCAATGTTTGTCAAAAGGTCAAAGATATTATGAATGCTTTGGATATGCAGCAGACTGACCGCAGGTTAATCCTCTAAAAAACCTTTAAGTTGTTTACTCCTGCAAATATTAATTAAATGCCAAAAATATAGAGTCTGTGATAATCGAGGAAAACAATAGAAAATACCCTCGGTCATGTCTGGTACTTTGAAAGTTAATATATATCATAACTTGTCGTTATAATAATATTTTGGGGAAACTATTACAATTTACCTTATAGTGTTTAAGAACAAGCACCAATGATTTAAAGATAAAATTTGTGAATGTTTATTAATTAATGTAGTAAATCTCAATTAAATTACCCAAACGTTACCCGAAAATCTCTAAAATAGAGTATTTTGACCAGTTTCCTTCCAAGATTTTGCCATAAAGAAATATCTGGATGACAAAGAGATGTCATACCAACTAAAAGCCATTATGATATCTTATAGGATTGAAAACAAAGGCCTCCTCAATACACACTGATTGTACACAAGTAACATGTAATGTACACACACACACACACACACACACACACACACACACACACACACACACACACACACACACACACACACACACACACACACACTGTTGTTGAATGTTAAATCTTGTCTGTGTTTCTCACCGTGTCTTCTCCTGGTGTGCAGAGCGAGCAGGATGACAACATGATTGAGATGGCCGGGGACGACGTGGACGTTCCCGAGGAGCTGCTGAAGATGGTGGACGAGGACGCCACGGAGGAGGAGGGCAAGGACTCCCTCATGGGCCAGTTTCAGAACTTGCAGAACATGGACATGGACCAGCTGAAGGAGAAGGCGTCAGCCACCGTCACCGAAATGAAGACAAAAGCAGAGGAGAAGTGCTCCGTCATGTGAACATGTGAGGGGGGGGGGAGTCTATGTTTGAATGATGAGGAAGAAGAGGAAGAGAATGACACAGGAAAATGTATTCCAACACTTTCCGGGAATCTGCAGGCTGAGCTGTATAAATACATTTGGGATTTGGTTACAACAGCAAACCAAGAATTTACTTTTATCATAAGCTAAATCATCCTGCTAACATCTACTGAAGGATTTACTGTAACATTCCCTGTTAGCTTGTTTCTGAATGGGTAGTCATTTACAACTTATGATTGCAATAAACTGAACATATTTGAATTGCAACCACAGTGCCCCATCTCACCCCAATGGCTGTTTTCTTTTGATGCATTTTGTAGAAAAGTGATTTTCCAAGCCAAGTATTCCTTTTCACACCATTTAAAAGCCACAACACTTTTCAAAACATTGATTTTACGCCATCTAATGTTCACTTTTTCTGTTTGTTGTAAAATGAGACAGTTAAAGTCTCTGAAAGTGTGTTTTCAGTCAAATATATAACTAACCAAAACTAAAACAAACCTTATTAAAGTTTTCAAAAAATCCACCCTGTGTGAGTGTTCAACTTTCCTTTTGGTTTGTTGGTTATTTTAGATTTTTTTTTTTTTATGTATGTGGTGTTTGAATTAATTATGACTTTTAGATTTTTGTTTTCTTTTGGTGTTATCACAAAGCAAACAGTGTTCATAAATCCCAACATGTTTTATTTATTTAACATTTCTACACATACAAATATGAACTGTAAGAAAAGGTGTTGAGCCTTAAGCATTTGCAGAAACTAACTTTAGAATACTGAATCATTTATTCCACAAGACTTAAAGCAATGTATATAAACACAGATGAAATAATGGAGGTATACTTGTAAATGTATTGTTCAAATAAAGATGTATATTGAATACATGAAATGTGTCGGCTTGTGTTGTGGTGCTAGAAAACGTATTCAAACATTTCACATACAACGTCATATGGTTTTTCATGTTAATGTTTTTACTAAGCTCCAAGTGTAAGCCAATTATTATTCATTTAAAAAGATCCTTAGCTTGTCAAAAGTCAATGTGTGTCTGTACAGTGATTTATGCTTGTACAACCATTAAGTATTTTAAATCAAGCAACTCCCAATTACCTGAATCAGGGCTAATGCAGTGAATTAAGATAATGGTCTTAATTTAATTGGGCATTATCCAAACACTTGTGAGGGGTGATTAGGCAGAACGGGGGGGAGGAGGACTCCACGTTTGGTTTCACATGAACCCAAGTTTAAACGGCTGTGCAAGTCTGGAGATTATCATCTAATAGGATCAGCAGAGACAAGGTTTCAGCGTGTGCACCGCGCTCTCTTTCTCTCTGTTTCTGTGGATCTGAGAATAGCTCAGTACAAAATGAAGTTCTGCAGAAATCGCATTCTACTTGTTCAAGAAAAAGAGGATGAAAAAATAGTCATAGGACAGAGCCTGTCAATGAAAAATATAACGTCTAAATTAAACTCACTTATTCAGTCCTATTTCAGCACTAGCTAATGTTAGCTGTTGTAAGACACATTTGGAAATAAACCTGTTGTTTTGCAGGGAGTTATATCAGCAGTATTGCTCTCATAGAGTAACAGCTAGGCAACTGTTAGCTTATAGCTTAGCACAAGACTGCAAACCCAATGAAGCAGCTCCAACTGAAAGAAACCAAAAGCACCTACCGACAATTCTAAAGCTCACTTAACTAACATGTTTTATCTGTTATAACTGATTCCTGATATTCCAATTTCAATCTGTCCAATAAAAGCAAAAAAGCAAAAAAACAATTGAAACAGTCAAACTAAAATAAACTGATTCACTGCTGCTAACGGCAAAGAAAAAGCCTGGCATAAAAACCCCTGGGAAAAAAACACACATTACCGTAACCTTAACATCTTATTTTTAGTGTGATGATCAATGTCGCAATTGTAACATTTAAATTAATTAGCTTAAAGGGTTGTGGCCCATTAAAAAACAAAATTCTGACAGGGCCATGCTAGCTGTTTCCCTCAGTTTCCAGTCTTTATGCTAAGCTAAGCTAACCAGCTGCTTGCTGTAGCAACATTTACCAGACAATTACAAGAGTGGCCTTTCTTTTCAAAATGTTAAACTGTTACTTTAAAAATGTTTTATTCCTTATAATAATATTGAACAAATTGTAGAATAAGCACCATGATCGGTCTCAGATTGTGGAAGTTTCACTTTCAAATTAGGTTTGACTTGAGATGAATAGCACACATAAGAAACATGCAAGACTTTTTCTCTCTAACTTGTTTCCTTTTCTAATTTGTGCAAACTGAAAGTTATTATGTTGAAGCTTCTTTCAGCTTGTGTTCAAGCATCTTTCAAGGTTAACCAGCATCTGACAGACACCGTATTTTTCAAATTTAACAATACAACTGAGTCAATTCAAACTCAAATAAACGTTTCAGGTATAGACCTCAAGAAACTATTATAATGCGTTGAATGTGTACCTTAAACGCTGTCCAAGCTCCACACAGCCACAAGAAAGCAATAGAGCTTCTTCAAGAACCTTTGCTACATAAACTTTTGCATCAAGTCACAACTTTTTGCTGCTAATTAGAACAGTGCATGCTTCTCCCTCTGACCCCCTCCCATTAGCCAAACAAAGGATAAGGTCACCTTCTGTAATTAGGAGAAGTTAAATAGTTTTAAGGGTTTTAACTCTTTTGAGTAAAATAATGTAATCCCTTTAAGCAGGATTACCACACTGCTGTCAATCTTTGTTTGCTGTTAAGTGGTTATAGGCAAAATGTGTTGTCGTTTGGGCTTTGTAACCCTAATTGACTCAACACTTATGAAAAACGGGTCAGAGAATCCCCTTTTATTTTAAATATGATTTATTAATTACATTTCATTTATTTTAATGAGTCTATAAAAGTCTTGTTTAATCAACATGTTTCAGGAGGTGCATGATTTGTCCTTAAGGTCAATAAAACTAAATGAAATGTCTTTCTTTTTTGGCTACAATATCTTTGATTAAATATTAAGCTGTCATCTTGCAATCCATGTCCTGACCAGAAATCTTGTAATTATGATTTTGTTGTACCTTAATCTGTGCCTCTGTGGGCCTAATCTTCCTCTTTTTTTCGCCGACTGACATGAACATGACATCTGGAGGAGTGGAAAGATGGTTTTAAGATTTATGTAAGTAGGTTTAGAGCCAACACTGACTGATGCACTTAAGATGGGGAGGAGTTACGGGCAGGGTGTGCGCACTGGTGCCTGCATGGGCGCACAGTTACCCCTAAATCCGGGGCCAAATCCAACAGGACGTCCCCTTTCTGACGTGCAGGAGGGGGGTGCCACATGGGTAGGGGGTCTTACAGCCGGCACTGCTTTAAAAGCCCCCTCAGAAGATGCTCCCTATCCACTGAGCAAGACGGGCTTACTGGAGTCTTGTGCGTAACTTCTCCACTCTTGGCTCTGCAATTTACAACTTTACCAAGCACAAAGAGTAGCAATATATTTGAATAGCCTAGTTGCAAATCTTTAAGCAGCGTTATTCCGACTATTTTTTGGGACTTTCGACCAATGTGGCTTCTTGGATCAGCTTCCCAGGTGATGATGATGATGGATGAGCGCCTGTCTCCCTCCGCACGCTCCGTCCAGAGCCCGGGTGACAACCCGGCCACAATCCACAGCATAGACGCCATACTGGGATTTAAAGAGGACCAGCTCTTCCACAAGTCCGCTTGCTACGGCGTGACGGAGAAAGTCCTGGTGAAAGATGCTGAGCGGAATGTCATTATGTCTCCACTGAAGAAAAGTCATTCTTCAGAAAGTTTTGACAGTAAGTTTCGTGATTTTTTTCCAGAAAAATAATAACTAAATTAAGTGTAAAGAGTATATAATCTACAACACGTCATGTTATATATCTGTAAAAGAGAGGCTTACCTTTATAACTTTATATTCAATTTCGACTTATTATTTCTGATGAAACGCAACCACTTGTTATTAGTTTGGAGTCAGGTCTAATTTTCATGATAGTGCGCACATTATTGAATCTTTCAGAAGATTTAAAAAATACTAAAAAAGAAGACAACATTAAAATAATTATATTTTAGATGTTAAATAAATGTTGCTCAGCTGTCCCGGCTGTTTCTCCCGGTGCTCACACTCTCCTCTCCCCGCAGGTGTTTGTTGTTCCGGCGGCGCCGCGGAAGCCTCGGTGTGCCCGGACTCTCCGGACGGAAAACTGTCGGATGACGATAGCTCGAAGAAGAAACACCGTCGTAACCGGACTACTTTCACCACCTTCCAGCTCCACGAACTGGAGAGAGCTTTCGAAAAGTCCCATTACCCGGATGTGTACAGCAGAGAGGAGCTCGCTCTGAAGGTCAACCTGCCGGAGGTCCGAGTGCAGGTAAAGTCCCAGAAACTAACTCTGCCATCGGCCTGTTTCTCACTGAGTAGCCACATGTATTCAGCCGCCATATATTAGGAACCATGTCTCTATAAAAAAAAAAGTGAGTAGGAATTTGTGGCAATATAGAGAAATATAGAAGAACACCAAAAAGTGTTTCCAAAAGCATGTTGGAAATGTTCGATTTAAAGTTTATATTGTGTAGATCTTATTTTACTACATCACATTTAAGATGTATAAAAAAAGAACAATAAAGAACCAAGTTGTAACATTGCGCAATTATTTTGTTCAAAGTGATTTAATTTGTAATCTTTAACCTAATAAACCTGATAGAAATTACATTGTTTGGATCAGTGCATTTTGTACTTTTCAAGGAACAGCAAAAACTGATTTAATTTATTTTAGAAATTTATATTTAAAATGTATTCACAGAATATTAAACTTCAATTATAGCTTTCATCATGGTTTCAATAATGAAATAAATTTCTCTCAATATTATATTTGTAACAATCCCTTATTAATGATTATACAATTATATAACTTTAAATCCTAAGTGCTTTGCTTAGTAACTGATAATTGTCAACCTCCAGATTTCTCAATTTTCAAAGACTTTTACACAATATTCGTTTTTTTGTTCTTTTTAAAGATTTTGTTTTTAGCTCTAAAAATTTTGTTTTCTCTCCCTCTCTTCTCTTTTCTGTTATAATGCCTTTGGATAAATAAAGGAATGAAGCTGTATACATTTGAATTGAATTGAAAATTAAAATCCTCCTCTTACTTTCAAGGTGTGGTTTCAAAACCGACGGGCCAAGTGGCGTCGCCAGGAGAAGCTGGAGGTGAGCTCCATCAAGCTGCAGGAAACCTCCTCCTCCCTGCTGTCCTTCAGCCGCTCCCCCAGCAGCTCCCTGGGCTCCAGTCTGCAGCTGGACCCCTGGCTCTCCACCTCCCTCACCACCTCCACCTCCCTGCAGTCCCTCCCCGGCTTCATCACAGGCTCGCAGGGCCTCCCGGGCACTTACACCCCCTCTCCTCCACCCTCAATGGCCTCTTCCATGCCGGCTTCCTTCCTGGGACACAGCCATCACCTGCCCCACATGGGCTCCATGTGCCCCCCACCCCCCGCCTACCACTGCTCTGCTGACCCCAGGAACACCAGCATTGCTTCACTGAGGATGAGGGCAAAGGAACATATTCAGTCTATTGGGAAGACGTGGTGATGAAGAGGGGAGGTATCAAATGGACCCAGAATGCATCATGCTGCATCTTTTGAGAAACGGACTCCTCATGATGACGGGATTGTTATTTTTGGAAGAGGGAAAACTGCAGGATTAGAGACTCGTCACTAATAAGGGTAATAATTTACTTCTCACTATTTAGCATTCATAAGCAGGATATAAATACTGAATAAATGATTTATAACACACTTCAATAAAGTTGTAAGTGAATACAAGATACAACTATAATTCACGCCTGCCAGTAAGCTGAGGTATTAACAGACACAATTCAGTCTTTATACTGTACATAATAAACACTTAAAATGTCCTTGTGTCTATTTACAAACACATCATGATGTGTGTTTTTTGCTTATGAATGCTAAGGGAGACTTAGAGGAAAATGTCACCCTTAAGAAACTCTTAGATATCAGAAAATCTGTGAAAATGACTGTGAAATTCCTGTGAAATGATGAAAACTACACTGATGATCTGGTGCTTTCCTCTATAAGCTGTTTTACTTTACATTCATTCAGCCCCATCCCATTGTTATCCGTGTTACGTTGCCGATATAACAAATCCATTATAACTCATCAGTATTTATTTTTCTTTTGTAAATGGAGCACTCCTCATTTTTAATTAATTTGTCCCTGCTGCTTTTTGATCTTCATCATAAAAGATTTTTTTTATATGTGAATATTTTCTCTACACAATAAACTTTATATGTACATTTCACAAACAAAATTGTGGCTGGCATGTTTTTTTTATAGAATGTTTTACATTTAATGGGCAATTTGTCACAAATTGGCAAAATGAATAAAATGTTCAGGAGATGCGAAAGGAAATATATTGCAATACAGCATTTATATAGTTCATCTGTTGAAATCAAATTTATGTCAAACATATTTGAGTATCATACATCTGCTACAGAGTGGAAGTACATGAATACAGCACCCCTTAGTGGTGGATTCCTCTAACATGACTATCCTTGTTGAGAAACATTATCAATAAAACATCAATTTAACACTAAATGCAAAACTTGTTACAAGGGGAAAGTCGATTGACAGTTTTAGGAGTTTTTTCTTTTTTTCACAATGAGATGAATTTGTTAATATTGTCTAAACACGATGTAATAAGGCCGATCATCAAACTACAAAAGGTATCAAGTTTAATAACATTTAATCATTTTTTAAAGACAAAGAAGGGTGGTATAAAGAGGCAGCTTAAACTCCCAGACTTCCTCTCTCTGATTTGCATATAGTTTATCAACCCACTTATTTCCACTTCATTAACTCCAGTAAAGTGTATCCTATTCGCTCCTGGGATTAGACTCATAATGACGGGGTGAAAGTGGCTCGTACCTCTATTGTTGGCCAATCATCCACGACAAATGAGGACAGAAGAGAACACTTTAAGAAAAAAAGATGTGTGTAACCAAATTGTTTCAATTAGCATTTCCTATTGTCTTGCAACCCCTGTGGGCTAATAATAGTCATCATTTATCCTACTGTCCTAAATACACACTGGGGTGTGTTTGTGTTTATTCTGATGAGGAAGAAGCAGCATCAAAGCTCACTGAATGGACCATAAACTGCTCTTGTCATCTGTAATTATAATCATGAAATGCTTCACCTTAAAGTGAAGTTTCTCAAAATGTGGATGCTCTTCTTTCCCATCTGGTGGCACAAACTGGTTACTGTACAGGTGGAGTTCATATTTTAAAGGTCCCACATTATATTATATTTGCAGGTGGAGTGCATATTTTAAAGGTCCCATATTATACTATATTTGAACAATATATTATTGGGCCATATCTATACAAAACATCTCTCTGAATTGTTTTGCTCAAAATACCAAACAGATCACCCATTGTAGCCATGCCTCACATCCCTCTATTTCAGCCCTGTTACTAAAGTGCTGATTCTGAGTCTGTAGCTTTAAATTTAACCGAGCTGCTGCTCGCCACGCCCCTTTGGAGCGGTGAGCCCTGTGAAGAGAAGGGTGTCTACTGGCCAGTGGCGACTGGTCATTAGGGGCAGGTGGGGCACAGCCCCACATAGTGTTAGCAGAAAGTATTACAAATAATGATTACAAAGAAATGCAAAAAAATAAATTAAAAAATACATAAAATATATTTTAAGATCATGTTTAATCATCTGATTCGTCTGTACATTGCTGTTTTAGTCTGTGTTCTTCTAATTAGTGTCTACAGTGTGTGCCTATTGAGCTGTTTAGAGCCATGTGGGACAAAACCCGATCATGCCCCTCCCTCACACTGTCTAATGGTGACTGTAAAAACTACACTGCGCATGCTCAGAGTATTTTTCCATTTAATGTGTGTGGCAAAAAAATAATGACCATAGGGGCACTGGGCTGCCATCCCCACCATACGTCATCTCACATAATTCAGAACTGATTGGCTGTAAGTACGTGTGCCGCGAAAAGTGTGGTGTGTGAAGAGGACACGAGAGAGGTGCAGTGACGCGTCCTAAAACCCGGAAGTAAGCCGTGCATGGCTTCCCTCGACAAAAAAGCAATGAGATTTCTATAAGATTTTAGAAAATAGCTGGAAATAAGATCTGTGGGAAGCGTACCTGTTAGATAAATGCACGTTTTGTTCAGCCGGATAATATCCACATGTCTACCCTACTTTTATAATTTTCTAATCATAAATCTATCGATTAGACTTATGATTCGACTTTTGAAACTACAAGAAGATAATAGAGATTTTTGTCCAGAGGGATAGGCAAATGGACTTCATCTTCAAGTCGAGGTAAGGCCACAATGTTATTGAAAATGGGATTTTACTAAGAGAGAACAATCCAATATTTAAATTATAAAATTACATGCTTGGGGTATCTTTTTGTTGAACCGTCTGTTTAAAATTAATCGAAGTATCAGACTAAAATAGCTTTTGAAAATAATAGAATATTTTGATTTAGGTCCAAATATAATATTTGTAAACCTGAAGAGTCAGTGCCAGTGCCAGTGCCAGTGCCAGCCATGAACCTCACTGCACGTCACTGCAGAAGCTTATATATAAACATCTACGTTTTTTGTGCCCCACCACTTTTGTACATATAAAAACGCCACTGCTACTGGCAGAAACTCAGCTAAATGCTGCCGTGATTAAACGCCATGTTCCCAATCAAGCACTATTTCTGAAACAGGAGCTCAAATGTTTTCTCTCTTTACCACAAGTACCTTTTATATCAAGCTTCTTTACACATATTCTCCAAAGACGTTAGCTAAGTGCTGGCAATGCTTGTATATGTAATGTAAACACAGACCATATTACTTCCAATGCACGTCACTCATTTCCAATATCACGTCAAGCCCGCAGCAAATCTGGATCAGCTCCGTTGAACCCTCGTTTTGAGAGATGTGGGTGAGGAAGAAAAAGTGAGAGGGTTGTATTTTCTGTCACTTTGTGAATCTCCTTACAAACCAGGGACATATATATGTATGTATAAAATACATATATATGTATGTATAAAATACATCAAAAAGTGCATTTTGCATAATAGGTAACCTTTAAGAAAGAACAGTGAAAAGACATTGCAAAGCATGAAGAGACATCCACAATGCAGTTATCACAACGTTACATTTATTCCACACTATCAGCTCACAACCAAACTGCTGCATGATGTGCATATTAAAATATTTTAAATTAGTGAAAACAAACATATGGTTTCCAGCGTACTCTTATAGCAGAAGAAAATATACACTTTAAATTAATATGTGACTAGGGCACAAGTTTGTATTTTGTGATGACTTGAGGGAAGTCGTCTTGCATTCAGGTGGAACCATTGTCTCGCAGTTTCAAAGCCAGAAGAAGCAGGTTTGACATCTATGATGAAGAAATACATCCATAAGATCTTATTTTCAAACATCGTCACATATGAAGAAAACTGATGGCCCACACACTGACCTCTCTGAGATATTTGTCTCTTTCCTCTTGTCTCCAGCCACTGTGCAGCAGGAGCAGCCGGTCTGCAGGTTTCTGTTCCTTTCGCTGCATCAGAGCCTCCAACAGGCGCTCTGTGACCCCTGCTGCTTCTGAGGGAGAGAGGTAGACACGCTCACCCTCTGACTCCTGCAGCGGCTCGATGCTCTTCTTTCCCATCAAATGACCTGGGGAGTAGGACGTAATGTTAAACATGAACTATCCTGGAAAATAACTGATTGTCGTCCAACTGCAACATGATAATCTGTAATTCCACTGTAATTATTAGTTTTTTTAACTCATTTTCACACCATTGCTAGCCAGGATAAAGCTCAATTTATTCAATCGATGTCTTCAATGAAACAGCCTTTTTTTTCTATTTTCTCCATTCACTTCATTTATTTTGCTAACCTACACAGTAAAAAAAGAAAAATGTATCTTTCCATTACGTTAAGAGGTAAAATATGAGTTACCTTAAACAGGGATGAGAAAGCATATGACTGCCTTATTATACAAAATACATTTAAAAAAAAAAGAAGCTCAATAATTATATTATATTATATTATACAACATATCTAGGGGGTAGGCTACTGTTATGCTTTTAAAAAATCTGATATGAGATATTTAATTTATAAAAAATAATTAGATAAAGAAAAAACGAATCTAAAATGCAATATTAGATTAAGTTTTTGTTTAAATATGAGGACATTTATCTTACCTACTGCCCAGTGGTTGCCTCGTGGATACATTTTGCCCACCGCAGCTGCAGGGCTCTCGGAGCTGTGCAGCATGCAGGGCATTGTCGCCAGAATAATGAAAAGTGGCCACATCGGTCTGCAAGTCCATGAATAACACACGCACACTCCGCCCATGTTATCAGAGGAGAGGTCCGATCTAAACAGCAGCTTTCTGAATCCTTTTTTTCCCGCAGTTATTTGGTTTGATCTAACTTCAGAAAGTCTCCACCATACTCGGTATTTGCGTGAACCGATATCGCAGCGGGGGGGGGGAAGTGCTCCAGCGGCAGACTTGTTGGAGTTACACTCCCGATGCCTTTGATAGAAATGACCGATGATGAAAGTAAATGCCCCTCCTGATACCAACTGTACGTCAGCAGCTGTTTTTAAAAGTACCACGGAGACGAGAAAGTCATGATGACAAATTAGAATGCATAGCCTGTAATTATTATTGCTCGTCATTGTTTGTCCAGTGATTGCGGGAGGTGTCAACGTCACCTCACGATGATTGACGGGATTTCTGGGTAATTGCTTCCGTTTCATTGTGTGTGGAAAATGGGAATTATTCAGTACATGTTTGTAAGAATAACTTGTAATATAACCAGTTGTATGTAATATTAGCTAAATGTAAGCACACTTAAGTTAATTGTAGACTTCCACAATGGCCCCTCTACTTTGATTACAATGCAAGATGTTGACTTTATATTGTAATACTTTATATAGCCTACTGTTTGGCCTTTCAGTCAACATTGAATCTTCACAACGTGTTCTATTGTTGTGAATGCTAAATCTTAATGTTAAAAGTAGCAATACACGTAAAAATAAATCAAGTGAAGTATATGGTTCAACCAGGCCCGGTTCTACGGGGGTGCATAAGGGTGCATTGCACCCTCAGTTGAGTTGTTA